CCCATTTAGACTAAGCCCACATCACAAATGGAAGCTTAATTTTGCTTTCACCATCACCTCCTAAGATTGGGTTTGAGCCTATGGCAACGTGTATCAAAATTGAAATAAAAATTTTGTTCCCGAAGTAGATTTTTTTTTTTTTTTTCGTCGAACGAGGAATCACCTAGTAAACCGTCTCGGGTCATTCTTTTCACTTCGTTTTTTTTGCGTGAAACAAACGCTCATGCCTATGGTTGTTGTAAAAATGGCAGAAGGTCCCCGACCCGGGGTCTTCTCTAGATTGTTCGTCTCTAAACTTAGGCTCCATTCACGGGCCCCTACACGAAGGGGCCACCAATAAAAAATATTTCCGTAAATTAAAAAAAATAGTTCAAAAATACTTTTCTTTCATACTTTGGAGTAGGGAGTCAATTTAAGAACGGCATGGAAAACGTAGACATGCAACAACTTTCACGCACCACCGTCCAAAAGAATTTCGCTTTCTTTTCATACTAAATAAATTAATAATTTGTATATCAAAAACAGCAATGATGACTTCCAATAAACCATAAAATTCACTAATGATACACTTTGGTCCAAGGTGGAGATTTGTTGTGGTTGTGGCCCAAATGTGTCTTGGGCCTATAGCCCAATTTCCACATTACACACACACTTGTCTATTTGGAAAGGCCCAACCAGAATAAGTCCAGCCCATTAGTGGGAATGTGCTAGAAGGCTTGAATCTGAACCGTTGGTTCTGGTGTGATCTCAGCCGTTCATTATAGCTGACCTTTCCTCTCCCTTGTACCTCCTTTCCCGTTTTGTGCCCTAGACAATCTCTGTTCTCTCCTTTGGTCCCCCTCTGCTTCTTTCTTCTTTTGCTCCAGCAACCATGGGCCATTCGCCGCCGTCCTTGGCCGTGCTTGTCCCAGTGGTTGTCTCTTCAACGGCTCCTTTTGACTGGAGTCCCTATTTAATGCAGAGAGATGTGTGGCAGAGGGTAAGACCTAGATTGAAACCCTAAATTCAAACACCTTACCTTATTCTTCTGTGAGCTGGGTCTGTGGTGAGTGGGTAAGAAGCTGAGTGCATCTTCTTCGTGGTCTTACTGATAATCTGGGTGGTTTCGGGGGTTTGAGTGCAGAGAGAGGATTGGTTCTGAGTGTGGTGCAATCCTAGACTGTGTGTGTGTGTGTAACAGTGGATACCTTTGTGGATCTGTGTGTGTGAATCGGTTTGGAAGACTGAGCTGTCTTCAATTTCATACTTCTGTTTTTCCCATACATTCATATTTATTTATCTTATAATGTTATTTTACTAACATCTATTTTGAGTTCTTATTTGTAAGCTTTCTTCGAGTAGAAACCCTACAGTGGTATCAAGAGCTTGGTTGCTCGAAGATCTGCTTGAAGAAGGCTTACAGAACCTAACTGGGTTCTGATAAGGTAAGTCACTCTGAAACCCTAGTTTTTTCGTTTCCTGGTTTATTCCTGTGGAGGTTGGGAGCCCTGTGTGGCATTGAGTTGGCCCTGTGTGGCGTGGAGGCCCTGTGTGGCACTACTTGGCCCTGTGTGGCAGATGTGCTCATACTTGATTTATTTTCCAGCTCTCTATGTGGTTTACTTTTCCGCAATTATTCCTACTGTTAGTGTAGCTTAGGGTTGCCCTCAGCAAACCCTTTCTTGTCCGGACCACCTAGTGTCGCAGGAATCTGGAAAGGGGGGGGCAATCTGATTATCTATTGTGTTACTCTGTATTTCTGTGTGATTCTGTGTGATTTCTGTGTGATTCTGTGTGATTTCTTGTGATTCTGTGCCTTTCATCTGTGTGAATAGTGGTGTTAATCAGATT